GGTGATCGACAGGATTTCTGGTTGGTCGCATAGACATCTTTCTTTCGGTGGTCGGCTTGCACTGATCAAGAGCACCCTTAGCTCCCTTCCACTTCATTTGCTTATTGTCCTTGACCCCCCTAGGTCTACTCTTGACAAGATTGATCAGATTTTGGCTCGTTATTTCTGGGGATACGAGGACAGTTCCGGGAGGGGGAGACGTACCCACTGGGTGAGTTGGGACTCTATCTGCCGCCCCTTCTCTGAGGGTGGCCTTGGCATCCGCTGCCTCAGGATATTGTTAAAGCTTTCTCATACAAGCTGTGGTGGCGCTTCAGGGAGGGAAAGTTGTTTTGGGCTCAGTACCTTCGCGGCAAGTACTGTCCTAGACGTGCCAACCACCCTTGTCGAGTGACGGTTGTTGATCATGATAGCAGACAGTTGCGGCGCCTTACTAGGGTTGGCAGGCACGCCCAGGATCACATCTTCTGGGTTTTAGGCGAGGGCGAGGTCAGTTTCTGGGATGAGTGGTGGTTAGGTGATAGGCCGTTGTCTAGGGATAGTCAGGTGTCGTATTCCCCCTACCTGCTTGTGAGTGACCTTTGGACGGACGGGTCGTGTGATAGGGGGAAGCTTGATAGGGAGTTGGGCTCTAGTGCGGGTTTTAGCGAGCATTTATTAGATCAGATCCAGCAGATCCCCATCTCGGGGGATGGTTCGGATGGCATGAGGTGGAGACTTACATCATCGAGTGTGTTTTCTACTACCTCAGCTTGGGAGCAGATCAGGCTGAGTGATCGGCCTAATCTTCTCTTCGGGGCCATTTGGAGCGACCTTTTCACCCCTACCATTTCGGTGTTCCTTTGGTGCCTCCTCTTGCGCCGGATACCTGTGGATATTGTGTTACACGCGAGAGGAATCTCCTTCCCCTCTCGGTGTGTGTGTTGTTCTGAGACTGGACGCCATGAGACCGAGACCTTTACCCACCTTTTTCTAGAGAGTGAGATTGTGAGGAGAGTGTGGGAGCACTTTGCCACTTGGACCCATATATTCCTACCCACCACAGACAGTTTCTTTGAGCTCCTGAGTTTTTTCTCACAAAGAACACACCTTAGACACGTGGACTTCCTCATTCCTTGTCTGATCCTTTGGTTCACCTGAACAGAGAGGAATAGTGCGAAGCATAAGGATATTACTTTTTTTGTTTTCTCACATTGTTTTGCAGGTAGAGAGACATCTTTCACTCCTCATAGCATTGAGCAGGCTCACAGCCCGAGACTGGACAGGCTGCACGCCGCCATACTGCTACATGGGGGCTTCCTCCCCGCCTGTTCGGCCCCCTCGGCCCAGAGGTGTTGTTTGGCTTCGACCCGACTCTCCTTGGGTCAAGCTGAACACTTATGGCTCTTTTGATCGCCATACCGGAGCTGCCGGAGGAGGAGGCTTGATCCGGGACCACATTGGTGCCCTCATCACCGCCTTCCACGGGCCCCTTCAAGCCTCCTCGAGCTACGACGCATAGATTCAGGCATTACATATTGGCGTTCAGATTGTTGTCTACCTTTCTAGTCATATTTAGATCGAGCTGGACGCTGTGACTGTCGCCACCCTCCTGACTTCGGGTCACCAGGGCTCGTGGCAGATTCAGCACCCGCTTTTGCACATTAGAGCTCTACTTCGGTCTGTCCATCACAGGATCACGCACATTTTCCGTGAGGGGAACAGACCTGCTGACTACCTTGCCAGCCTTGGCTCCACCATACCAAACCCACACACGTTTCAGTAGATTAGGTTTATTGCTTTCATTAGATTAGGCTTTTATTCCCGGGCACCTGTTAGCCCGAAGAGAGACTTTGTATTGTTATTTCTTTTTTGTTTTGCTTGTGAGACTCTGTAGACTGTAGACTGTTGTTATGTTGGGCCCCCATTTTTGGGGTCTTGATCTATGCACAGGTTGGGGATCCAGCCCAATCGCCCGCCCTTGTGGGGCGTTGTTTAAGAAAAAAAACCTAGCAACTACAAAGAACTAACCTAGTTGGAAGGTTAGTTGTCAATGGTCAACGTCGGAAGTCAACAGATTTCGCCGAAAGTCAACGGTCAACGCCGGAGTCAACGGGTCAAAAAAATATTTAAATACTTAAAATAATAAAAAGAAAAAAGTAAATCTTAGTCACACATGATGTGCCAAATCTTGTGGCTAAAAATGAGTCTCACGTCCTCACTTTAAATAAGTGGATGCATTGGAACCCTGTAATATATATATATATATATATATATATATATATATATATATATATTCAACCCTGTAATTTATCTGTAATTCGTGGGGTTGTCCGTTCTTCACGAAAAGACAGGATTATGCACATAGGATGTATTGGAATTATTCGGCGACCATCCCACGACGACCGGCGACCTCCGGCGCCCTCCGGACGGATTTCGGCGACCAGCCACCGCCAGACGTGCCAGTGCCGGGGTTACATGCGTGATGAAGATCGTGTGTCCCGATTGTCGATAAGCCGCTCCCGCGCCTTAAATCGCACGATAGGTGTCTCGCGAGCCACGTGAGCGCCTCTTGAAACGAATAATATTGCAAAAGAAATCAAGAAGAAATCTAAGGCAAAGTGTTTGAACAAAAGTTCGATTTTTGTATTAAGATTCAATGATAATAAAATTGAATGAGTACATAGGTATTTATAAGAGAAACTAGATCTAGTCCTATGAGCACTATAATTCTAATCTATGAAAAATATATCTAATCATAAGGTAACTAAATGTCTTGCATATCAAGACTTACCAAAATAAATAAAATACCTAACAATCCTAACTAATCTAAACTATCGTGAATAAAACGAGCCTAACCTATTACAAACTCCTAACTTGCGCCACTAACAATCTAACACGGGAAAAAAAAATAAAACTCATAACTAATCCTAACAAACTATGCTAACGCCACTAACCTATTTAACTATCTAATAATTTATCAAATAAGCTAACAAGCTTCCTAACATTACTAAACTAATAACACTCACGTGAATAGGTCTAAATTAAACTAACAATGAATCTTAATCAATAATAAGTATCTTCTAGAAGAGTAATGCTATTTAGCCAACTTGGATGACAACTTGGGTTACAACCTAAGTGTAAATGCATTATCAAAAAATTAAAAAATAATGCATTTACACTTGAGTTGTAACCTAAGTTGTAATCCAAGTGAGTTTTATAGCATTACTCCTTCTAGAATCTTCGCTCCTCGGCTCGCACGGCTCGCCTCGTACGCTTGCGCGTCACGCCCGCGCACTCCTCCTCGTGCTCAGTCGCGCGGTGTCCTCGGTCCATGGACAACTCCGTCTAGGGAAGAGACCCTAGCCGTCTTCAAAGAGTCTTCCGCGTTCACGCAGCCCTTTTGCGCCTTGCCTACCCCACCAAGGAAACCGCCCATGCGCTCGTCTGCATTGTCTTCGCCTAGTCCTTCAAGGACTCTTCCTAGCGCCAACCTTGTACGCGTGTGTCTATACTTGCCTGTGTGTCCTAGCCTTTTGAGAATTCTGGGCACCTCTCTGGAATCTCCCTCGTCCGGATTTCCTAATCCTCCAAGGAGTCCAACTCTTGCCGACTTAGCTGTGCGTGGCCGTACTCGACCCCGTCGCCTAATCCTTGTCCAACGAGGCTTACTGGATGTCCGCGCATAGCCTCGTGCCTCGCACCTTGGGGTGCTCAACCCAACTAGCTTTGACATGCTCATGCCTCGATCTGCTTGACACCATGAGTCTAGCCTCGATTCCTCCAACCTCGACCATGCGCGTCCTCGACTCTGCGAGCACCGTCCATCATTCGTCCAACTGCCCGATCGACCTAGCAAGTGTCGACCACGTGATAGGCCCGTTCGAGCTCGCAAGTGTCGACCATCTGAGAGTCGACCACCCGACCTTTCTGTTCGGCCCGTTTGGCTGCGACCCCTCGTGTCGCATGCTCGTCCTTGCAGGCTCGACCCTGTCGGCTTCCTGGGTCTCGACCATGCATATCTATGCCAATGTGCGTGTTCGCGCCCTTGCCGTTCGGATCATCTCGCACACCCGCTCGCGCTGATGGATGCGTATCTTCACGTGTACCCTCGCGCGTCTCCCTGTACGACCTTCATTGGCCGTGTAGCGCCCCGTTTATTTATGGATTATTTGGGATTTATTTATTATTATTGTTATAATTATTATTATTATTATTATTATTATTATTATTATTATTATTTATTTGAATGCCTAATTGTCATTAAATGTTTAAATGCCTATTATTAATATTATTATTATTAAATATGTGTATTAAATAAATATTACCCGGTTTATTTAATTTACCGTGCGATTAAATCGAGTCCGAGAAAACCTAAAACCCGAACCGACCGAACCTCGCGCGCCATGCCTGAGCAAACCGCACGCCCGACCCGATTTTGCCCTCCCTTTTTCGTGCGTGTGTGCATTTTTATGCGTGTGTCTTGAGATGCAAGACACAAAAACCTAGGTTTATATATATATATATATATATATATATATGTATCTATTACCCTCTCTCTCTTGCTGAATCTCTTGATCGAGCGCCTGCAACCATAAATCTCCCTTCCTCTCAAATCTGATTTTTCACTACCTCACGTCGTCTCCTTCACAAATCCCGTCGCCCTCGTTTGTTTTCTTTCTCTCTCGCCGCAAGGAAGTTCCGCTCTCTCATATCACTCTTTCTCTCAATCGTGCGCAAGGAGCAGAAAAACTTCCCATCGTTGCCATCATCGTTCTCCTCCCTCCTCGTCGTGCAACCATCGGCGAATCCTTGTAGGCCCGACCAACCGTTGCTGAGACGTCACGAGGCCGAAATTTGAGACACCTGATCGCCGCCGACCCTTCCTGGCAATCCCTGCCTCCGATGAGCCCGCAACTCCGTCCACCATCGCTCCTCTGCGCGCCTACAACTCCGACGAGTTTCCCCGCCCCTCAGCCTGTCGACGCCGCGTGATCCGGTCGTCCCTGTCCGCAAGCAAATCACCGTGAGCCACAGCAGCCCGTCGCTCGGAACCCAGCCGCATTGCTACCTTTCTGACGACCACCACGACGAGCCCTCCTCCGTCGTGACCAGCAGCAGCGGTCCTTCTTTCGACGAGTTTCGTCAGCACTAGTAGCAGCCGGAGACCCCGAACAAGGACGTCTTGAGCTGTCCGACACCATCGTCTCCATCGAAGGTCGAGCGGCCAGCCGGCGAGATGCAGGGCAGGTTATCTCTCGTTCCTCCACCGAGAGCCCAGCAGAAGGGGATGTTTTCCCACGAGCAGCAGCCCGTTCAAACTAGCGGTAGCCGTTCGAGGCTTTTATCGAGTCGTAGTCGGGCGTTTTTCCGTTGAGCGGCAGCCTTATCTCGAGCCCTCGTCAAGAGTAACAACAACCTCGGTTAGTAAAAGATTTATCAAGCTTTGCAGTGAGCCGAGAGTATTCGTGAGCCGCCTTCGACGTGCCATTCGCTTTCTTCATCCCATTTTCGAACGTTTTTTCGAGAACAGTACGTAGGCTCGAACCCCGTCTCGTTTAATTTCGTATTACGTGTTAATGTGTTAGTTATATGTTATAAAATCCCATGTTGATGTGGTGTTTTATTTTACATTAAAGTATATTAATTCATCTCGTCGATTTTGAGAAACCAAGCGAGATCACTTTAAAAACGTGTTAAGTTGCTGTGGAATTGGAACATAGCGAGTCCTTAGCCTTATGGTGAAGGCCTCGGACAATTTTGAGTCTTGTCGAGTCGTACATGAATTGTTGAACTCGTACGGTTGCTGATTTGAAATTAAATTCGTGATAAATTGTATACTGCTCGGATTAATGTGAAATATTGTGTGTCGAGTCCTCTGTTGATCATGTATGCCGTGTCAAATTTCAAATTAAAATACCAATTGTAGCTATTTTAATTAATTGTTTTGATTTCTGGGCAGAATATTGTAAATTGCATATTAAATGAATTTGTGCCCCAAATTGGCTGAAATTTGAATATGTTGGCTCTCTGGCATGAATACATGTTGTGTAAAATGTTTAGAATTTTTGGATTTCGTTTGCTAGGGTAAATAATTTATTTTAGTATTCTGCTGAAACTTGTTTTAATTATGAAAATTTTGTCAGTTGATGTCAATTGCTAATTTTTGATTGAAGTGCTTATTTGATGATGATATGTGTGTGGAGAAATGCTCAAAAGTTTTGGAGTTCATATTGGCTCGGTTTTGTTGAAATTTCAAAATCTGCAGAATCTTGTTTGGATTTTTATAATTCGCATGTTAAAGGTTTAAAGCTAGAATTATTACATGTTGTTACTCACATAATGATGGTTCTTGTGTAAAAATTTCAAAGGTTAAATCATTCATTATGTCAGTCTTTGAATTTGTGCTCGTTTTTTGCTGAAAACTTGTTCGAATTTTATAAAATCATGTGCTTTGAGTTAGGGGCTGAAACTTGGTGGATTAACTGAATTTAGCGAGTTGGATTTTATGTTAAAATTTCAAAACCTAACTCATTTGGTAACTTGACCAACCTGATTATGTGATTTACCGGCTTTTATTTCGAAAATATTGTTTTTATGTTAAAAACTGTAAATCGACTCGCATGTTATTCATTAATTGTTTGACTTGGTAAATCTTTGATTGAGATTATGTGAACTCCCATGCGTGTTTGGTTGAGTCTTAGTGCCGAGTCTGAGTGTTCCAACGTCCACAGGACTTCACGAACAACTTAGTCGAATCAAGTTTGACTAAGTATGATTTGTGTTTTTCGTTTAAGTCAAGATAGATGTTGATTTTAGAATCGTGACTTAATGTAGGTGTTTGAGGAGTCAAGCCTCGACCTACGTACCTTCTATTTTGCTCTCATCAATCCGAAATCTAGGTGGGTTAGTTATTCTAAAATATCTATGCATATGTGTTTTATCTGTGTTAAACTGGTATGATCTATGTATACATGTGAGCATGTAGCCTATCGATGTTAGCTTGATGGTCATCGGTACGGTTGTCCCCGTCGATGTAATATGGTTACCTTTACGAGGTAAATCTTCTTAAGACCTATGAGAAGGCCGTGTCATTGATGTGGCACGCACTCCCATGTCATTGTTGTGGCATGGCTAAGCTTAGATGTGCACATGAGTGAGTCTTTGATGAGACTAGAATCATTGATGTGACTAGAGATGAGACATGATGATATTATTGTTTATGTTCATGCTGCGACCATACCATCCTAACATATTCTGATGTTGTTCATATGCATAGTGTGAGTACAATATTTTCCAACTGTACTCACTCCCACCTGCTCTTCACGGATGCAGGTTAAGCAGTTGGCGGGTGACGAGGCAAGGCGAGTGATGGTCTGGTTTATTTTACTTATGATTATTATTGCTTCCTCTTTTATGAACTTATATTGACTTGGGATTGTCTTTCCTGCTTGATTTGGATATTTTTTACTACGTCGTTTTGAACCTTGGATTATGATTTGTTTTCATGGTTTTGGAACTTATTGAATGCAAGTGAAGTTTTATAACTAGTAGTCATGCATGTACCGATTTTATCTGATGTGTTTGTATTTTCGGTTAATAGTACTTGGTAGTTAAGTAGCGCCCATTGAGTTTTAAAATTTAATTTGAGATTTGCGAAAAATTAACTCTGATTTTTTTAAATAATTCGATAAATCTTTTAAAACAAAGTGGGGCGTTACAGTTTGGCATCAGAGCCAGTCTGCGTTTCTGTAGACTGGTTTATAGGTGATTATGTGATTAGACCTCATGTTATGACCACTCGTCTTCGTCACGCCGCTCTGCTTAAGGTATGTGTTTATATAAGTATCGATGTGAAGGTGTGAAATTTTATATATTTTTTACATAGGCAGTAATGAAACCGCTTATGTTATGACTTGTTGAAATTGGAGCTTAGGATCTATCCACCTTTGGTTTAATGTGAACTCTAGTGTTTAATGTTGAATTCTAGTGATATAGAGTTAAGTTCGGACTCTAGAGGTTCCTCGTTGAGAGTTTCAGTATGTTGTTATCGAGATAAGTTATGCCCATAGCAGTTTCCCTTGCTATATAATTCTATTCAATGTCTCCAAGTGAGGACCCAGTCAATAAGAACCGGGAATGTATTCGCCCTCTTCGGACCTTGCTAGGTTCGAAAAGTATGAGATGAGTCGATGTTTTATAGGCTGTATTATGGATGTTTATGTCCTCGGTTCAACCTCTGGTATATTATATGTTTAATGTCTCTTGTGTCTTAGTAAGAGTGAGTTCATAGTAGCTCGAAGCATGGTTAGTTGAGTAAGAGATAAGGATATGTGTTTTAGTGATGCTCTAGCATGTTTATGTGATTCTGTTAAAAGTTAGAAGTTCCATTCGAACTTGTGTTATGAGGAGATAAGTGTGTTAGATTGACGGTCTCGTTTATATCATGATAGGTTTGTTCGGGTTCATTTGATATATATGTGATCTTCGATGATTGAGGTTGAATTTATGTTATAACATGCTAAATCGTGACCCTCGCCTTATTACAATTAATGGGTTGTATATGCGAAGAACAATGTTAAATGTTGTTTTGGGTATGACATGCGAAATTGCTGCCTCTGTTGTGCTGCTATAATGACCCTGAAGTACTCGTTTTATGAAGTTTTGTTCTTCATATAAAATGTATTTTATCCTATTGCCATTAAGTGAAATTTTGAATTTCGTAAATCCGAGTTATATCGAGTGAGTTATGATTTCGGCGAAAATATTACGCGAGCAGTTTTAAACAAAACCCGGCAGCAAGTTCATGTTAATGTTTGACCTATTTGTTGCATCTTAATGTGCTCAAATAAAAATGTGATCTTCATGAACGTTGTAGGTCTATTTCTAAGCTTTCTAATGAGGTAAAATTCATACGGGTATGAGGACTGTAGCTCGGGTTGTTTTAAATTGAAATAGGATATGCATGAAGTGTGCTTATACTTTTGGACAGAAACTGATTCGTAATGATATTAGATTTTACCCTTTGTAATGGCCTTATCTGCTTCAGTATTCTAAATGAAAATTGTAGGGCTATCTCTTAGGATTCTAAGAAGGTATGAATCATGTCAATATGATAAGTGTAGCATGAGATGTGTTTTTATAAATATGTTGTGCAAACTGTTTTTCTGAAAACCGGGCTGTGTATAAGATATTGATGTTTAGTTTGAAATTGATGTACTAACATGCCCAAATGGGAAAGTGGTCTTCATGAAAATTGTTACTATGCTTTTTGGCTATTCATAGTATTTTGAATCATGTCTTTTGGAGGTCTGTAGCATGATGTAGGTTATAAATACTGAAGTGCTATTCGTAAACCAAATCAAATTCTGACAGATTTTATGACCTGAATGTTTTATGTTTAAAAATGTTGATAATGCTCTTATTTTTCCATTGTAGTCTTCAGCAAAGTTGTGGATATTTGAGTCAGTTACATTTTGGATTTTGAATCTCCCTGATAGCATGTCTGTAGCTTCATTTGTATTGAATATACTGAGGTCCTATCAGTCGTAGGTTCCCAGAATTTTTACAGCAACCCTGTTCTGAATGTTTGATGATTTATGACCTGCTAAATACAATTATTTGTTTCTGATGTCTTCATAAGAAATGTGGAGGCATGTCTTAGGATTCATATGCAACTGAATTCGGGTTTATATAAATTATGTGTTGCATTCGGTGTCGATTTTAAAAATCACTGCATGTTATTCTTTTTGCAAAATTGAGTTGTGAATTTCAAAAATTAGCTTTTCGTCAACTTTCATGTTTATGTGCCCTATGTGACTTAATTTGATTAGCGCTATAATAATGGATGGAAACACTTGCGAGAGAAGCTTTACGCTAAGATCTCGAAGTGTGGAATCTATAAGCTATATATGTGGTTGAACTCGTTTAGGACCGCCGGCACGATTAGCTACCTGAGTAAAAGCTGTCGTGATGGACGACACTGTTAGTCGGAAGGGTCAAGAGAGCTAACAATTCTATTGTTCGGAGATGATCACCGAGATAAGATTATTCCTCGCAGTGATGCCAATGTCCGATTCCTTTAGGAAATTGTTGTTAAACCCAAACTTTGGTAGTTTTGGAAGCCTTGTAGAAAAACTCTTTTTCCTATCTGAGTACCTAGGAAATTATGGACCCGGAAATTGAAATTTCTGGTAGGTATCTTAAACTGAACACCGAACCTGTCTGGGTGTAGCCACGTGAAGTGGTGGCCGAGCCCGCACGCCCGTGCTGAGAGACGTGAGGCCAACTGCAGTGGCCGACCGTTGACTCGCACGAGAGCTGCCGCCGCCATCACCGAATGCAGGGGCTCCTCAGACCAGTGTGTATGGCTAAACCTTGACCTTGCAGCTAGTCTCCGAACAGGTGCATGCACGCGTCCCAGCGCCCCGCTTATCCAGCGCCAGTGTGTGTGTCATCTCTCGGGTGACAGAGCATTAAACTCCAAACCGACTATGTTCTTTTGGGTCGGTAAACCAGTATTCTTTGTCATGTATGTTGACCTTTGAAACCTTTTCTCTCGAACTTTGAACCGAGGACTTCAAGTTGTATGAAGCCCCTAATCAACGACTCTCAATATGTGAGGCTTGTCGATTAGTTTTCCCTTATCTCATGCGAGATTCTCTCGAGATGGCGAGATATAGGTCCCGCATCATTTTCAGGCAGTGTCCCGAGTCTCAATTAGAGGCTATGTATACTTCGTAGGGATCGAGACCTATGAAGAGTGAGAGGATTGGTGTTAGATCGTTAGTATGGGAATATCGAGCATCCCTAATCATGAGACGATTCTACGATAGGAGATTGTTTTCGAACATCTAGTCGATACTTCCTAAACCGCATACGAGGTGATACTCGTGTCGGCAAGGAAGGAGGCATTGTCAGCGGTACCAAACAGAGCCGTGTGTTCTAAAGGTACCGGCATTGAAGGTATAGTGATACTGGTGATTGCTAGCCATTTGTATGGGATTCCGTAGCGGCCTGATTTATAAGGCTGCACAGATCATGTCGATGTAATAATCGAGTTTTCAGCGTGACCCGGGCACGAGATTAAAGCTCGATGCCACGAATTAACCCTATGGTTAGTCTGCCGGAGCATACTATCAAGACACATAAGCACCAGTTAGGGTCTTGTGTATTGATAGATGAGTAGAGTGTGAGAAATTCCTTACCATGGGGAGGTACGCTGATAACGATGGTTATCTAGCAACAACCCTAATGGTACCATGCGAGGTGACTGGTACGGATAGAGGTGGAGTATGCCATTGTTCTGGTTACTGCCACGCGTACTCAGTCCTATTATGATTCTCGACCAAGTCGATGATTTAGCCTGATGGTTGACTCCACCACCGGAGCTCGCGAGGATGCATGACACGTTTTGTGCCTCTTAATGGAGGAAACGTGTGCGTGATCTCGAGATACATGTGAACTGTGACGACTTGCGTGATAGGCAGAACCCTACTTGTTTGGAGGGGGTACTCTTCAAGTCCAATGAAGGTTGTCAAGGCAAGACGACTTGGGAGAGAGAAACTAAAATTAGGAGGAGATACCCGAATTCCATGTGTTGATGTTATCCCCCATTATTATTATTATTATTTATTTGAATGCCTAATTGTCATTAAATGTTTAAATGCCTATTATTAATATTATTATTATTAAATATGTGTATTAAATAAATATTACCCGATTTATTTAATTTATCGTGCGATCAAATCGAGCCCGAGAAAACCGAAAACTCGAACCGACCCGAACCTCGCACGCCCTGCCCGAGCAAACCGCACGCCTCACCCGGTTTCTCCCTCTCTTTTTCGTGCGTGTGTGCGTTTTTATGCGTGTGTCTTGAGATGCAAGACACAAAAACCTAGGTTTATATATATATATATATGTATCTATTACCCTCTCTCTCTTGCTGAATCTCTCGATCTAGCGCCCGCAGCCATAAATCTCCCTTCCTCTCAAATATGATTTTTCACTCCCTCACGTCGTCTCCCTCACAAATCTTGTCGCCCTCGTTTGTTTTCTTTCTCTCTTGCCGCAAGGAAGTTCCGCTCTCTCATATCACTCTTTCTCTCAATCGTACGCAAAGAGCAGAAAAACTTACCATCATCGCCATCATCGTTCTCCTCCTCCTCGTCAGGCAACCATCGGTGAATCTTTGCAGGTCCGACCAATCGCTGTTGAGCCATCGCGAGGCCGAAAATTTTTGACACCCGATTGCCGCCGACCCTTCCCGGCTATCTCTGCCTCCGACGAGCCCGCAACTCCAACCACCATCGCTCCTCCGCGCGTCTACAACTCTGACGAATTTCCCCGCGCCTCAGCCTGTCGCCGCCGCGTGATCCAGTTGTCCCTGTCCGCGAGCAGATCACCATGAGCCACAGCAACCCGTCGCTCGGAACCGAGCCGCATTGCTACCTTTCTGACGACCACCACGGCGAGCCCTCATCCGCCGTGACCAACAGCAGCGGTCCTTCTTTCGACGAGTTTCGTCGGCACTAGTAGCAGCCAGAGACCCTGAGCAACGACGTCTTGAGCTATCCGACACCATCATCTCCGTCGAAGGTGGAGCGGCCAGCCGGCGAGTTGTAGGGCACGTTATCTCTCGTTCCTCCACCGAGAGCCCAGCAGCAGGGGATGTTTTTCCATAAGCAGCAGCCCCGTTCAAACTAGCGGTAGCCGTTCGAGGCTTTTATCGAGCAGTAGTCGGGCGTTTTTCCGTTCAGCGGCAGCCTTATCTCGAGCCCTCGTCGAGAGTAACAGTGATCTGGTCCCATTCAATCCACAATTGAGCAGCCTCGTAAGTGCGGAGAGAGTAACAACAACCTCGGTTAGTAAAGGATTTATCGAGCTTTGCAGTGAGCCGAGAGTATTCGTGAGCCGCCTTCGACGTGCCGTTCATTTTCTTCATCCCGTTTTTGAACGTTTTCCCAAGAACGGTACATAGGCTCAAACCCCGTCTCGTTTAATTTCGTATTACGTGTTAATGTGTTAGTTATATGTTATAAAATCCCATGTTCATAAGGTGGTTTATTTTAGATTAAAGCATATGAATTGATCTCGTCGATTTTGAGAAATCGAGTGAGATCACTTTAAAAACGTGTTAGGTTGCTGTGGAATTGGAACATAGTGAGTCATTGGCCTTATAGTGAAGGCCTCGGACAATTTCGAGTCTTGTCGAGTCGTACATGAATTGTTGAACTCGTACGGTTGCTGATTTGGTATTAAATTCGTGATAAATTGTAATACTACTTGGATTAATGTGAAATTTTGTGTGTCGAGTCCTCTGTTGATCATGTATGCCGTGTAAAATTTCAGATTAAAATACCAACTGTAGCTATTTTAATTAATTGTCTTGATTTCTGGGCAGAATATTGTAAATTGCATATTAAATTGATTTATGCCCCAAATTGGCTGAAATTTGAGTATGTTGGTTCTCTGGCATATGTACATGTTGTGCAAAATTTTTAGAATTTTTGGACTTCGTTTGCTAGGGTAAATAATTTATTTTAGTATTCTGTTGAAACTTGTTTTAATTATGATAATCAGTTGTTGTAAATTGCAAATTTTTGGTTGCAGTGCTTATTTGATGATGATATGTGTGTGGAGAAATGCCCAAAATTTTTAGAGTTGATATGGGCTCGATTTTGTTGAAATTTCGAAATCTGCAGAATCTTGTTTGGATTTTTATAATTCGCATGTTAAAGGTTTAAAACTGGAATTTTTACATGTTGTTATTCAAATAATGAGGGTTCTTGTATAAAAATTTCAAAGGTTAAATCGTTCATTATGTCAGTCTTTGAATTTGTGCTCGTTTTTGCTGAAAACTTGTTCGAATTTTATAAAATCATGTGCTTTGAGTTAGGGGCTGAAACTTGGTGGATTTACTGAATCCAGTTAGTTGGATTTTGTGTTGAAATTTCAGAACCTAACTCATTCGGTAACCTGACCAACCTGATTATGTGATTTACCGGCTTTTATTTCGAAAATATAGTTTTTGTGTTAAAAACTGTAAACCGACTCGCATGCTATTCATTATTTGTTTGACTTGGTAAATCTTTGATTGAGATTATGTGAACTCCCATGCGTGTTTGGTTGAGTCTTAGTGCCGAGTCTAAGTGTTCCAACGTCCACAGGACTTCACGAACAACTTAGTCAAATCAAGTTCGACTAAGTATTATTTGTGTTTTCCGTTTAAGTCAAGATAGATGTTGATTTGTTTGAGGAGTCAAGCCTCGACCTACGTACCTTCTATTTTGCTCTTATCAATCCGGAATCCAAGTGGGTTAGTTATTCTAAAATATCTATGCATATGTGTTTTATATGTGTTAAACCGGTATGATCTATGTATTCATGTGAGCATGTAGCCTATCGATGTGAGCTTGATGGCCATCGGTACGGTTGTCCCCGTCGATGTAATACGGTTACCCTTATGAGATAAATCTCCTTAAGACCTATGAGAAGACCGTGTCATTGATATGGCACGCACTCCCATGTCATTGATGTGGTATGGCTAAGCTTAGATGTGCACATGAGTGAGTCTTTGATGAGACTAGAGTCATTGATGTGACTAGAGATGAGACATGATGATATTGTTGTTTATGTTCATGCTACGACCATACCATCCTATCATATTCTGATGTTGTTCATATGCATAGTGTGAGTACAATATTTTCTAATTGTACTCACTCCCACCTGCTTTTCACGGATGCAGGTTAAGCAGTTGGCTGGTGACGAGGCAAGGCGAGTGGTGGTCTGGTTTATTTTATTTATGATTATTATTGCTTCCGCTTTTATGAACTTATGTTGACTTGAGATTTTCTATCCTGCTTGATTTGGGTTATTTTTTACTACGTTGTTTTGAACCTTGGATTATGATTTGTTTTCATAGTTTTGAAACTTATTGAATGCAAGTGAAGTTTTATAACTAGTAGTCATGCATGTATCGATTTTATCTGATGTGTTTGTATTTTCGGTTAATAATACTTGGTAGTTAAGTAGCGCCCATTGAGTTTTAAAATTTAATTTGAGATTTGCGAAAAATTAACTCTGATTTTTATAAATAAATTCGATAAATCTTTTAAAACAAAGTCGGGCGTTACAGGCCGGCTCTCTTGTACTGATTGTGCCTCGCATACGGGCTCGTACCCGTTTCTTAGGCTATGCCTGCGTGGTTTTGACCCTTTCCTCGGCCTTGTCAGGTCGTCTCGTCCCTTGGCCCTTGGCATGCTCGGGCCTCGAAATGTACATTCTCATCAATGCGCCGCCACGCGCCACTGCCGTCCGGTGCACGAAATCCACGCGCAGCCTAGGCATTAGGGGAGTGGTCCAGATCGCAGGCCCAGGAGTCCAGCCGCATCAACCCACGTGGAGTGGCCCATTGTGCAAGCAACTTGGATGAAGGAAGCCCACGTGGAGGAGGCCCAACAACACGAGGCAGCCCAGCAGGAATGAGAAGCAACGCGGGCCGCATCTGCTCGCGTGCGGCCCGCAGTGTATCACAGAGTCAGCCCGCGCAGGGCCCGAAGCCAGCCCACGCCCCAGCTCGTGTTTCCTCTCAGTCCTGGCCCGCGTGAGAACCCACATCGGCCCGCGTCTAGGGGTGAGCAAAATCGAGCCGAAACTGAAAAACCGCACCGAAACGGTGAATTGGCTGCGGTTCGGTGCGGTTTTTATAGAGTTCAATTACGGTTCGGTTTAATTTTCGGAAAACCGAAAAAAATTCGGTGCATTTCGATTTTCTGTCTGATGGGTGCAGTTTTAACCGAACCGGACCGAACATAGTGTCTGTCATCTCATTTTATTACATATTTGCATTACATACAGGCAGACCGCACCGTAACGATTTACATTTAAACCTAAAAGTCTAAAAGCTAATTTGCACTTTTCACTTTCAGTTTTCACTCTTCTCAGTCTCACACTCTCGTCTCACGTCTCTCAACTTCTCTTAACCCTCACTCAGTCACTCTCAACTCTCGTCTCCAATCTCTCAAGTTCACCAATCAACACTGATCTTCCGGCGCTCTCAACCGCGTCCACCACCGACGCTCTCAACCACGATCTCAGTCTCTCACCCTACGGCCGTCTGGCATTCGCTCATCAATTTAGGTCAGTCTTCTTATTTTCTTTTCTCATTTCGTCACTTTTTTTCAGTCTTTGTTGAGGGTATTGCCGTATTGGATCCGAAAATCAATCATCTGGTCTGAAAATCTTCAATCTTGAAAATATTACTTTTTTGCCCTAATTTCAGCCCCAATTTTGATTTTATTTTTTTTTGTTTGTATAATATCAATGGTGTAACATATCAATGCTTTAATCTTCAATCATCTGGTCTGAAAATCTTCAATCTTTTTATTTTTACTGTTTTGTTTATTTTTATGAACTCTATATATTTTTTTCTGGTGCTAATTTGGTGTTGCTATGTTTTGACTATTGAGGTTTTTATTTTTATTTTTATGTATTTATGTTTGTTGACACCCGAGTTCGAGAGCCAAACCGGAGACCCGGTCCAGTGAGAAAGTGCCGAGCTGGACCGGAAAACTTTTTGACTCTGACGTTCCCATGAGTCCGTCCGTTAGTTTGGCGTTTACAACCATGAAGCCCCGGTGCCGGTCTGAAGAGTGACGAGCTGGAGGAAAGGCTCCCCGGAACTGGAGGAACAAACGAAGATAAGGTGCCGGCTTGGGGTCTCAGAACGGGCCTCCACAATGAGGAATGCCGATCTCGATAATAGTATAATAATGCCACTTGGAGGGTAATCATTAGTTATTGGATGGGACATCTTAGCTTGCTGGCCTACTTCCCCTAGCCAAGACATAAAGCCTGCCAGCATTAAATGCATGTCAGACAATGATGAGGAAAACCTCAAATCGCATTAAATTCTGTCAGGGAGGCGCCGAACAACTCTGCAAGAACACTGTACGACAAGACTGGTGAACAGTGCCTGAACAGTGTCACATTTAAGGCCACTATAAATAGCAACCCATCTCATTTATTTTGGGTTGTTGAATCTCAACTGTAAAAGCTCTCTCTATATTTCTCTCTCTAGACTTGTAAGGAACTCGTGTAAGAATTTGTAAGTATATCGCAAGTGCCGACCTCGTACGAGAGGCCGACCTCGTGATCCGCTAATAAAATCACATTTATACCGTATTCCTTCGTCTTTTCTCATTACTTTTTTGCTATTTGTCTTTTTTAACCGTTGACCGGAAACGACCGTCAACAGTTTGGCGCTAGAAGGAGAGCCCATAAGTTACTTGGTGTCAATTTTTCGATCTTGTGAAGCTCCACTTCGCACTCATCTCTTCCCTACTCTTTTCACTTTCAAAAACAACTCAAAATGCCTTCATCCGGACATGACGACTCCACCCAGCAGTCTGGCTCCCAGCCTCGCCGACGCAACGGCGGGGATACCTCCCGTCGCGTTCAGCAGGGGCCCATAGTCCCTGTTCCCCCGGTTCCTACCTTTGCTGCGGCCATGCAGCACCCCGACGTTCTTAAGGCCCTTGAGGGGGTCTTCGCTCGAGCCCTAGCCAGCCAGGCTGCCGGGGCGAACACCGTGCCGCCCACGGAGAACCCCGGCAACACCTTGCTCCATACCCCCG